CTTAGGCACTATATAATAGACATGGAGGGGACATTAATATAAATGGTCAATTCTTAAAAGGAGAGGGAAGCAGAGTGGCACAGGTTGTCAGCAACTAAGTTTGGAAAGTTGTGTAAAATTTTTGTGGGGTGGGGTAAGGAAACAGAAAAATGCTGTTTTAAGCAGAGGAAACGACAGGAACAAGAGCACCTAGGTCAGAGGAAGAGAAAATGGGCAAGAACTTTCTACATCAAACTAAGGAATTCTGACTTTCTCATGTAGGCAGGGGGTAACCACTAAAGGGTTTTAAGCAGAGGAATGCCAAGACCATTTTAATATCCAGTGAACATTAAGCTACCTACTTTGTGCTTAGCACAGTAAAAACAGAAATATCCTGCCTCTCATGAAATTCACATGCTAATGGCAGTAGACAGGCAATAAACAAGATAAAATAATGAAATATATAATACATAAGGTAGAGATAATTGCTAGGGCAAAAAAACAACCACAAAAGGGGATATAGGGACTGTTGAAGAGGGTGCACAGTTGCAATTTTAAATAAGGAAAGCCTCACAGAGGTGACATTTGAATATAAATCTGAAGATGACAGAGTGAACCATGCAAACACCTGCAGAAAGAGCTGTCCAGGCACAGGAAATAGTATAAATGCTGAGGCAGGAAAGTGTGTGCCTGGAATGTTTGAGAAATAGCAGTGGGGCCAGAGTGGTTGAAGCAAAGAGTAAACAAGGGGGAAAAGTGGTAGGAAGTGAGGTCAGAGATGCGATAGGGGCAAGATTGAGTAGGCCTTGCAGACATGGTGAGGACTTCAGCTTTCCTTGAGGGAGGTAAGAGTCACAGGAGGGTTTTGAGCATTGGAGTCACATGATTTGTGTTTTAGCAGATAATTCTGTCAGCCAATGTGGAGGCTGGATTATAGAGGAAAGGTTAGAGGCAGACCAGGTAGAAAAGTATTGCAGCCAAGAGGAAGTGGTTGGCAGTCTGGATGGGGTAAATGAAAAGAATGCTAAGTAGAGAAAGAGTGAGCCAATGGTGCACTCTGTGAGAACGACGGTCAGAACTGTCTTATTATCATTATAACCCTGGTGATTTAAACAGTGCCTGGCACATAGTTGGATGCTCAGTAAATGAATGGAGGAAGAGATGTGTGTAAAAGACTTAGAAGGGATCAGGGAGGTAGGAAGAGATGCATAAAATAAGGATGATGATAGCAGCAGCAGCTAACCTTTATTGAGTAGACTGTGCTAAGCACTTACCTTGTATTAACTCACTGAATCCTCATAACAACTCTCTGAGAAAGTATTAGTATTATTTGCAGATGAGGAAACTGAAGAACAGAGATGTTGAATAACTCGCTCAAAGTCATATAGCTAGTGGGTGATAGAGGTGGGAAGTAAACCCAGGCAGGCTGGTCCCAGAACCTGCGCTCTCAAACACTATGCTATACTTGCCTTTTCTCAGTCACCAAGAGAAAGTGGAGACTCAGAAGCCAAGGGAAGAGTTTAAAGGGGAAGTGGTCAATGTCAAATGCCTTGGAGAATTCTAATCAGATAAGAGCAAAAATCAATCTAATTTGTAAAATAGGTATATTTGGTGGTGACTTTTGTCAAAGCAGTTTCAGTGGCACTGTGGGACCAGCTGTTAATTGGCAGCAGGCAGATGTATAAGTATGAGAAGGCAGAGTGATGTAACAGGGACAGCAGAAGGCTGAGGGAGAGTATGGAATGTAACAGAAGGGTCATGGACTGAGACCTACTGCTTCTTGGTCATATAACCTTGGGCAATTTACGTAACCTCTTTGGACATTTCAGTTTTCCCATCTGGAAAATGGAGTTGATCCTTTCCTCTCTGGGTTGCTGTAAAAATTAAAATGAAAAAATATACCCTATATCCTCTTTTCCTCTCCTGCCCTTCAATCTGAAGTCAGTGTCCCTGTGCTCTTCAAAGCCAAGCTGTTAGCCTATGCTCTTGGCCCCATTCTTCCCTAACTCCCCCTGGGCTGTGCTCCCTCAGTATTCCCTCTTCTTTGTTTTTACCGTTTTTCCTTCTACTGACCGGCTGTAAACATTCTTTTATTATTATTATTATTATTATTATTGTGATTTGGGTGAAGATTTACAAAGCAAATTCACTTTCCATACAGCAGTTCACATATACTT